ATTATTAAAATTGTCTCTTTTGTTTAACAGTACAATGACTCGGAAATGCATTAACGTTTTATAACCGACACGATACTCGAATTGTAAATAAATGCATCTGATTTAAATTAAATTGAAGTTTTAAGTCTTCACCCATTTGAATGTCGAAATTGGAACATTTAAAACAAATTTAAAGTATTTAATTTTGTTGTTTTTGCGCCGAGCAATTAATTAATGAATAATTTTGTCGATTCGTACCGTTTACAACATTTATCGAAGGAACGATATCTGTTTTTATCTAAACTTTTCCACAAACAGCTACCACTCGAATTGAAAAGCCCTCTAAACCTGCTGTCCAGTGAGTCTAGAAAGTGGGTCAAATAACTTGTTTCTAATCGCTGTCTACATTGTGGCAGGCGAGAAACGCCGTCTCTGCAATGAAATTTTTCTGAACAGCGGTCTACCCGATCTGTAAACCGCCGTCGGCCTCTAAAATTTGTCTCTGCAATCGGCCCTAAATGGTTTTCATTTTAATATTTGTTATATTATAGCATTTGATTTACAGGTTATTATGTAAGGGTTTATCACACCGAGAGACCAATCTAACACGTTTTAAAAATTTTTTAAATGTTTAAAATGTGTTAGATTGGACACTCGATGTAATAAATGCTTACGTAAGATAACCTTTGTAAATATAAATCAAATACTATAATATAAGGATTAGAAGTACGAAATAATCTGTTTTTCTTCTTTTTATACTTCCATTCATAAGTAAGAAGTAAAATTGTTATGATAAATTCCATGTAATTTGTGCATCATTATGTATAAATTAATTAATTTTATTGTTTTTTTAAAGAAATGAAACGAATATAACAAAATTAAAAATAATTTAAAATAACACCAACCAATCTTAGTTACCATGTTAATAGGATATTCAATTTTCGTAAAGGTTTCCAAGTAAAAATAGCTAGTTTATTATTTTATAATACAGTACCCACTCGTTATATAGTACAGCTGTCCCTTGATAGTTCGACGTTTTGTAATCCGACATGCTCAGTAGTCCGACGCACCTCCCGTCAAGGTACCCGTTCCCGTTACGTTTCTGCTTGCACAGAAGTATGTCGCGACGTGAATCTCCCCATCCATTTCTTACAGGATAACACACATTTCGTGTGTTTTCCGTGAGCAGTTCTATTCGAACAGTTGGAGTAGGGAATATTGTAGGCTACTGCTAGCAAAACAATGCGAAATATGTAATCACTTTCGGTAATTCGGACACTTTTGGTAATCCGACACCCCTTTGGTCCCATACCTGTCGGATTATCAAGGGACAGCTGTACTTGTCGGGAGACAAATCAAATTAACGTTATTAACCATCTCATTTCTAATGAATAGGGCACGATCAAGAACTGACTCACGCCTGCGCCCATCCCAACCAACGTTTGGTAGTCACTTCATCCAAGGACACTACCTTCAGGCTGTGGGACTTCCGGGAGGCCATTCACTCCGTCAGCGTATTCCAAGGACACACCGAGTGAGTACGTCTCTCCTCTCTCCGTCCAGGCCCCTAAAATATGAGAAATGAATTAAATGGCGAGATGGTCGTTACAGGTCAGTCACCTCAGCCACTTTCACTGGCGGAGACAAAGTGGTGTCTGGAAGCGACGATCGCACCGTCAAGGTATGGGACCTGAAGAACATGAGATCGCCACTAGCAACTGTCAGACTGGACTCTCCAGTTAACAGGTAAGCGTTTCTGAACTGGCGCCCGGCGACCCCTTTCCTTTCATTCCTTTGCCCCATTTTTTTCTCAGGTTGGCCGTCTCTAGTCAGCAAGTGATCGCCATTCCTCATGACAATCGTCAGGTACGTCTTTACGACCTGAACGGCGCCCGTCTGGCCAGACTGCCTCGCGGAAACAGACAGGTAAATTGTTCTACTCTAGCTATATATCTTTGCTATCCTCGCTAACCGTGATTCTCTTTGGAATAGGGCCACAGGAGAATGGTGTGTTCGGTGGCCTGGTACGACGATCAGCAATCTGCCCGATGCAACTTATTCACTTGCGGTTTCGACCGTTTCGTATTGGGCTGGCAATTGAACTACCCGAGCAAGGAAGATACCAAACCTGGCACTTCCAAGATCAACTGAATTCCATCGGATGATGCGCCCGAATGTACATAGATTATTTATCGGTGGTCGTAGATCCGTCGTCATTTGCTGCCTTCTCCGAAACGTCGAACGTTTTCGTTTCTAGAAGTAAATCCCTCTCCTTCGACCCAAATTAATTTCGTTTCGTAAAAACTAAAGTAATTATTAGGAAATATCGCGGGTTCCGATATATTTTTACCCGTTCAGACCCGTTCGACGTTTCGAAATTATTCCGATAGCGCGGAAGGAGCGTCGACGTATCGTTTACCCGAGTGTATTCGTGAAACTGTTTCAATAAAAGTAGAAGCGAGTAAGGTATTCCGACTTTTTCTAATTTATCATTATCGTAACAAAATAAACAAAAATAAAATTTTACGAAAGGAAAAATAAAATAAAATTCAATGAACGTTAATAATACCAAGTGAGTCTCTTCCAATTCCGTAAAATCGTCACCAAGTTTCGATAAAACGAATCCGTATTTTAGAATATTTATTTTATGTGAAAAACTTTTATCCGAATTGTCTCGCGAATATGATGAGAGTGATTTCGGAGGCGAGGTGAAGATCAAATATTATTAATAATACAAATCTCTGGTAGTGTCTCCATATTATAGTTCTAAATGTGATATGAACAGACTGCGAGCGACACTATATTATTGTGACAATAGGAAATTTATCTATAAACATATTTTTAGAAACTTTAATTTGAACTGGAAAAAATTAAAAGAAATTGGAAGTAAAACCTCTGTAATTTACATATGAAGATTTAACAAGCACTTTCAATTTAAATACTCCAATCGCAATAATATTAATACAAATAATCTATTACATATTTTACTAAATGCTAACATGCGATAGGTAAATTAATTAATTCTTCAGTTGTACGAATATAATTTTGGATCGTTAAGCGTTAATCTGTTTTTAAGCGGAATAAAAAGGAGATAAATCGTCATAAATGTTAATACTGTATATAGAAGAAATATAACTAAATCTAGAATGAATAAATTAAAATACGCATTGGCTAGAAAATTATCATATAAAGTTGGTAACTTATATAATTTACAAATTGGAAATCATTTTTTAAAAATTGTTTTCAGTGCATTTAAAACAGTCTCTCGACCTTTTTCTCTTGGCGGTCCAGTAAAATTATAATTTTACTTTGACCGTAATTAAATGCGAATTATGCTTATTAAGCTTATAGTTGCTTATATAGAGTTTTTGTACGTAAAAAAGTACGTACTATAACTAGATTACTATTTAAATATCATCCATAAGCAACTGTTATGGTCAAATACTTTTCTGCGAACCGGCGGTTGAAAAACACCGATTTAAAAGATAATTACAAAGTTTGCGTGAATGGTTTTATTTTCATTACAGTTAAATAATTATAAAGATCTTTAGAAATATACAGAAATCAATATATGGGATCGTTTATAAGTTACGTAACGCAGTTTTTATAGGCTTTTCAACTATCACACTATCTCTGTAATGTTCCATAATAATAACGCATATCCTAGATCGACCTCCTTAATTGTACTAAGGAATAATATACAGCACGAAATACAGAACGTTACGTTACTTTATTAATTACGTATAAAGCAGTGATATAAACAGTAGGGTTCGCTATGCAATTCTTCGGAAACAAAAGCGAATCATTCTGTTACAAGAAGGCTGATATCCTAGCATTACGTAACGTTCTTGTAAACACTCCTATCTTTTTGTAAAGCATCATAATGATTATTGTATATGCACACCAACCTACCCATATCTGCGCTAAATAATTTATGGACAGTTCCTATGTTTATAAAACAAAGAATAATTTAAAATTAATTGCATTGGTTGGCTACGAGCAAGACATGTAGGCCTACTTTGAATAAAAAATTATAAATTTTTTAAAATTGTATATTATATATTTTACACGAGAAATTATTTACTGTCACATCTTCACAATGCCGGGCTACAATTTTTAATCTATTTAATTTGAAATATATGCTCTCCCCCTCAAATTAGTAGTGGCTCGCCCTGTACAGTACATCATACTTTTCCTGTTAGATAGATGATCAGCACGACTCAATTCTAATTCCTTTCAGGGAAAGTTCTTTGAATTTCAATTGGTCGATTGTTTACAGTGCCGTAACTAGCCATTCCTGTGCCCTGTGCAAGAACTTGCATTTAGGCCCCTTAATTAATTAGGTTTGGGAAAATAATAAAACAAACACGTGCATTTTGGGACTCTCTTCCAAATGGGCCCTGTGCGGGTGCACCTGTTGCACCTGCTTAGTTACGGCACTGATTGTTTATATTTATTTCTAAAGAGTAAAAATGAAATATTCGTCTTTGGAGATTTGCAAGTGTATAATTAGTTACGTTAAAAATCTCACGTAGAAAATATCTTTCAAATTTATGCAAATTTAACTAAAACTTTAAAATTCTGAAGAACATACCGTTTGAACACCTGAAATTACCTATCAACTGTGATTATTTTGATAAAGACTAGGTGGCCTGCACAAATACAAGTTTCCTATTACTTGAAGCCGGGATAAAATTAACGTGTTTGTCTGTATCTGTTATTCGATGAAAAATAATATAAAAGTAAAAGCATATTTGACAGTTGTACATTTTAAATACAACATTTTCTATTATTTTAGGCTGTTATAATATGTGGGTTTACATGGTATAGCCTCCATCAAATCAATTATGTTTTCTCTGACATGGACGACTCTAGAGTGGGGTGAAATCTTAAAATCACCTTTCAAATTCGTCTGTCTTTGAAATAATTTATTCCACACTGCTTATACTGACTATTATTTGATGGGTTTCTTTAAATATGAATTGATTGAAAGCTAAATAAACTCCTCAAAAGTGAAATCGCAACACCACAAAGGAATGCACATTGCAGGACTTGTAGAGGTGCTGAGATATGGAATGATTAAAACGAAAAAAGATATGCAATAGACACCTGTTTATTCAGTAACGAATATGGCTTCAGTGGCAGCTATATGGCGAGGCATGCTATCAATGAGGCGATTAATGGTTGCTTGAGGTATCTCTTGCCAAGCTGCCAAGCTGCCTCTACTACGACGCTCATATCTATTGTACCTGGTATATGATGGTGATTCCCAGTGCATCTCACGTCGGACGAAGTCGCACAGGTGGACTGCCGGCCAGGGAAGCGTATGAATTTTGTTGCAGGCTGGTGAGAGTTCGCCCTGTGATGTGTAGTTGGGCACTGTCTTGCTGGAACACCATGTCGGGTGAGGCCTGCACCAATGGCCGAACCACAGTCCCACAATTCGTATGATGTACAGTACATGTACTGGTTCACTGTCAGAGTGCACCAAGACTGTCCACTGATCGAACATTATGTCCGGTGTGACGCTCGGAAAAAAGGGCTTGCACGTAGCTTTCCCCGGGATACGTCCACGGCTGTCATTTTTCCACAGACAAAAGCGGGATTCATCCGTAAACAATATACGATGCCATTCAGTAGTCCAGTTGCGACGACGAGACCACTCCAGGCATACAGCTCTGTATCGAGCGGTTAATGGCATCGCCGTTGCCGCGCGTGCAGTCCGACTACATACTAATGGTTTGAGTAGACATACATGCACTCGTTGACGGCGACAGGCGGCTTCGGATGTCACGTGCCGTGTTGGACGGGTCTCGATGGGCCGTGCACACCAGTGGCCGAATGGATAAAACCACTAAACACTGGTAGTTGGCTGTGGGTTCGCGCCTCGCCAATGGGCTGGCCACGTGGAATTTTCCGGGTTTTCTTCACCCTAGTAAACAACTAAATAGGAGCCAGTTTCCTTAAAAGATCTCCAGTGAGGCATTCCCCGGCAGATCGCCCACGTGTCGCGTTGCCGTAACCAAATAAACAAATCCCGAAGGGCCGTTCGGCGAATCTGTTGGTTTTTGCGCTCTGTCATGAGTCGGTGCGATTCACTCCCTCTTCGATGTGTTCCTGCATCCATCATGTCACATATCGTGTGTTGGGAAAGACGTGAATACCCTCACGTCTTGTCCAACACGCGTGGCAACTGCGCGCATCGACAAACCGAGGTCACGTACCTCCAAAATATGGTCTTCCACAGTCGTTAACTGGTGGTATTCAGCTCGCTGTAGTCTCTGAGGCATTTTTTAATGCTTTTTCGATAGTTCGGCTGCCACGAACCGTCGCTGATAGCATTTATGGCCCGAGTCGGTTGCTGGTTTTTGTAGCCCGAAACTGGGTATCACATAACTCGACGTGTATCAAACTTAATCATTCTCATATCTCTGTCATCTCTACCGGTCCTGCAATTTGCAAGCGGCTACGTGCATTCCTTTGTGGTGTTGCAATTTTTATTTCGAAAGTGTAATTACGTTTCTCAGTGTACTTTTTTCCGCTAATGTCTTACTGAAAGTAGATTGACAAACTTTAAAAATTAGTTTGATGATAAAATGTGCAGATAATACACGCGCCTCTAATACAGTGTTACACCCCATCCTCGTTTTCAAAGAATGAAAATCCTAGCGCTGTTCTGTATCTTTGAGAGATTTTTGTTTTTTGCATATTCTGTAACAAATTAAGTCTTTTTTGCCATTTGCCTGAAAAGTTTCTGTATAATAAATTCGCAATACAGTAAAAGCAAATTTATGCTAAATCCGTATAATTCTTGTTATTCGTTTGCTATATTTAAAACTGGTTATTATGTTAAATGCATATTTTCAACTAAATAATTTTTCGAAATGTGTGATTTTCGTTTGAATAAATCTCGTAAAACTGCTTGCATACAGACTACGTCATTCACGCATACAAACCGAACTGGATTTGAGACAAGAGTGATTCCTTCCGTGACTGTATTATTGCAAGTTTTTCGCCTATTGTTTGCTTGCAGAGCCGTTTTTTATTTTTGTATTACCTTTAACAAGTCTTTCGATAGACTGAAAGCAAAAACTCAAAAGTAATTTTTATTTAACTGTGGGCACCGAATTTTATTACGCCGATAATTTTCGATTCTGGTTTCAAAATACAGTAGAACCTCGATTATCCGGACTAATTGGAGCTGAAGGAAGTCCGAATAAGGGGAAGATTCGGATAATCGAAACAAATACTTTAATTTGTCTTTTAATGATAATACAACACGTTTTCTTTTCGATGGCATATCGGTAATATTAAAGATAAAAACTGTATTTAAACCGTAATCAAATTATCAAGAAACAAACGTTCGTATTGAATTTGGACTACTACTGACCAACACTAACAGACTACCTATTGTAATAATAAATCACACACACCTGAATTTTTTGCCGATTTATTTGTTTATTCCAAACGTTTTCGGCCAATTCATATAGGCCATCCTCAGGTTTTAATAGTTTTCGTTGTAATGGAATCATTCGTTCGAAATTCGTTTGAACTTGTTGTAATAAGTTCAAATTCAAACGAATTTCGAACGAATGATTCCATTACAACGAAAACTATTAAAACCTGAAGATGGCCTATACGAATTGGCCGAAAACGTTTGGAATAAACAAAAATAACTCGGCAAAAAATTCAGGTGTGTGTGATTTATTATTATAAATATATAGCATTGCTGAGAAGGTAGATAGACTACCTATTGTTTAAAAGGCCCTCTAGTAGCGCAAGAAGACGGATTTTATAAAATAAAAAGCAGTTGAAACTGCATTTTTATGAATAAAAATTTGACAAACTATTTATCGTTTTATGACGAGTAAAATTTTTTCGTCTCGTTCACGGCTTTTAAGTAATGCATAAACCTTCCAAACGCGAGGCCCTTCGGACCGCGAGGCATAGGCGGTGGCCCACGTTGCCCATACGCCGCCCTTGGTCATAGAAACGATGTAATTTGAAAATAAATTATTTATAAATACGTATGTCAAGTTATATTTTTATTACGACGCAAAATATATTTAAGAGTTTACTGCCACTTTGATGAGACGTTGTTGAAACAAAAAAAAGTTATGCATTCCATCACGTACATAAACAGTATCGTAATTCGCCAAGTGCAAATCAGCAAATTCGTAAAATTTTTGTTTATTTTGAACAATCCGGATAATCGAAGTCCGGATAATCGAGGTTCTGCTATAATTCGTTTATTCTGGATGTTAGTTTTTACTGTTGTGCCGCAGTGAATTCGAATGTGGAAGAAATTTCAGGTGGCTCAGGACATCGGGGACGTGGCTCAATCGGTAGAGCGCTCGCTTCGCATGCGAGAGGTAAAAAGGTCGATGCTCCGCGTCTCCGTCTGAAGCTGTTATTTTTATAAACGTCTGCAATGAATAAATTTTTTGGCACCACAAAAAGTAATTGGTCTTGCCGTTTCACACTGCTGAAAGACTCTAATGACGAGTATCGCGCTTGTATCTGTGCATCGGGTTTACACTTCATTACAGTCGTGTACGGTACTTATTATTTGCAAATTGACTTCTGCCCATTTTATAAACATCCGACCTGTCGCTGTAAGCTGTAGCGAAAATGTTCGGGAAAAACGGTTGGCGAAGCGTTTCTCATTGACGCTTGCAGCCGATGGCAAAGAGCGCGTAGTGTACTTTTAGTAGCAGTGACGTTTTTCGTTAGCAACTGCCTAACAAACACCTAATAGAGTGAGCAATTTACAGATGGTATTTCAGGCAGTTAGTCGCCGGGGACGTAGCTCAGATGGTAGAGCGCTTGCTTCGCATGCGAGAGGTACTGAGATCGATACTCGGCGTCTCCAGACTCGTTTTGTTTAAGTATTTAAACTCTGATTTCTTTTTTAAAATCCGTTCTAATTACATCCGGTTTGTATAGACGATCGAATTCTCGAAATACTTTTCAGATTTTTGCTAAAGTTAGCAAATAATTCCGTCTGAAATTTAAATGAGAATTCGCTGTCATACATCTGGCTGGAAAGAATTCCGTTTTGCAACTTTAAAACTTTTCGGTTCGCCAAAATTCTTAACGTTTCGGAAGCAGGCTGCAAGTGCAAAGTCGGTAGCAGCGACGCACTTGAGTAGCACGTCTCCAGGTGTGACGATACTTAGAGAAAAAAAAAATTCCATTTAATGGAAACGCCGAGTATCGATCTCGGTACCTCGCGCATGCAAAGCGAGCGCTCTAACATCTGAGCTACGCCCCCGACGTTCGAATCGCCTTTACAGCTCGTTTGCATTCTTTCATTATCTACTGCCAAGTAACGTTTTCACATTTGTAATCGATTATCTTCGTGTTTTCGGCTGAGCGATGCGGTCTTGGTGTAAAACTTGAAAATTTTCGAATTGTCGTCGTGTTCGAGAAATGAGGAAAGATAAGTGAAAGTGTATTGGAATTACAATATTGTCGACAACGTACGGATCCAGACTTGTTCGAAAAGTCAACGTGTACCGTTTCTTGATGTCTGTTTTCAAGAGCAGTGGCTAAGTATCGGACTCCCAAGTTTTCTTGCCACTTGCTGTTTACAAATGCCACGCGCCGACGCTTTCGTTTTTTAGACGACATTAGCCAGTTCCGTGCATGGATTTGTTTAGGCTGTACTGCACATGAAAAATCGAGCCCAACGGGCATCTCCACAAATTCGCCGATAACCTTAACTGAAACCATGAAAACATTGATTATTCGCGAAAAATTTTCCTAACAAATTGGTCGTTGCGTTTCTTTGAAGATTATTCTCCTAACTAACTAGGATATAGATTCTGCCGCTACGAAAAACAGTTGCATCGGAAATTAAATAAGTATAAAATGTTATAATTACTATGCAAAAATCTAAAAACGTACCAAAGTTATTTTACGAAGTCGCATCTATTCAATGAAATCTTGAAAATTTGTCAGATACTCAAATTTTATATCTGGCTATAGTTTATAATTTGAAACAACTACATAGAAGTTATTTTTTTTATATAAAATGCGATTATTGTATATGGGATACACTATAATCAAAATAATCGACATACCTTAAAGCCTGCATACAATAGTATTCGAATTCTACATGTTAAATAGTAGTGAAAAAGAAGAAAAAGTCAGTTACGTCAGTTACGATATCACAGTACAAGAATAAATAATTGAAGCGCAGTTTCATTACAAATTTTGCATATTAGTAAATTTTCTTCTTTAACTCTCTCTCTGAAAGAGGGCCTTTCTAGCAAGCACATTATGGGTTCGGTCCGGTCCACAATGGGACGGCCGGGTAGTGAGGGACAAGGCCTGACATTTCCGGACCGACCATCTCCGAAAATTTTCTATTGTTCTCCGTCCCGTCCAGGTTTGATTCCGGATCTCCCAGAGCGGTAACAGCTTCTTCACAAATCTTATAAATCGGAAAATGGCCACTCAGTCTGACAATTGAAATGTAAACTGATCAATGTCAAAGATAGCTTTACAACTTACTAAAATAATCGGTCGGATGGGAGAACGGTTAACTAAGACCGCATTCTCCATATGAACCTGGTGGGAGAAGAAGAAAAGAAGAAAAGAAAAAAAAAAGGAGAACGGTTAAGGTAGTAGCGGGCGCTCTATGGTCCTCCGTCTGGATGTTAAACCGTTCTAAATTTTCCAAATTTACGGAATTTTAGTTACTTTTTAAAAATTGTTCGGAAATGTTCTGAAAAATGAACGATAAATCGTGAGTTTTTGTTTCAGCTTGTTAATCTTTCCTCATGAGAAGTCGGCCATCCTAATTGTAATGGCCCACCAGCGGTCTTCGTTCCCTGAACACTCGGAGTTCGGTCATGGGTTCGCACCTCGCCAGGACGGGCTGGCCACGTGGAGTTTTCCAAATTTTCTCCACTCTGTATCGCCTAAATAGGGGCCAGTTACCGTTAAAAAGACCTCCCAGGAAGTGTCGGACATATTCCATCAAATCATCGCCTAAAACTTTTGAGGGAGTTTTCGACCCATCGGAATCCTATCAAAGATCCCGAGAATGGTAGGCTGCCACCTTAATCGTTCGGCCATCCGACCGTCTAGTTTTTATGTTATTAGTGAAGACTAGGGTTTCTCATTTCCCGGTCTTTTGCTTGTCCCGGGATCCCGGGATAAAAGTGAACTGTTTCCCGGGATCCCGGGAAATCCCGGGATAGAATTAATTATTTTTAAGGTATACAAAATATCTTGAAATCAAATGATATAATTATTTTCCATTTTTTAAAGTAATTTTAAAGTTCTGTAACCTCCAAAATCATATTAATAATGCTGTGTAAGGTCTATAGGCCTATAATAAAAATTACCTTTAAATAACGTAGAAATTTTCACAAATAGAAAAAAATTAATTAAAGTTTGCTGGAAACTGCATACAACAACAACAAAAAAAAATGTTTTGAATTGAGTAAAAAATAAAAAAAATGAACTTCTAATTTAGAAGGTAATTTTCGTTTTTTAAATAAAATATAATACAAAATATTGCAAACTTTTATAAGATTTTAAAAAGCAAAGATGGTCAATACTCCGATAACTCACTCTAATTCTTATTTTAGTAATGAAAAGTCTTGCCACCGAGAATGCCCTTTCCGATTCAATTGATGTGATTGGAATAGTGTTTAATGCATTTAAGAGAAGACAGATATTATGTGTTTTTTCACCTGTAGCCTGGAAGCTTTCGAGTTCGTTTTCGAGATTGTAGTACTTCTTTCGCTCTCTAGTATTCTTGATTTGTCTACCTTGGCTGCTTTAATAGCGGCATCAAGCTTAGAGCTCGATAATTCGGCAATTCATTTGGCTTTAATAATCAGGTTTATGAAGAAAAACTTCATACTTGCAGACTTTGTACTCGTTTGTATCCTTGCCCAATTTGCACAATCTGGCGTCAGGCATTTATTGAAGCTACTGGGCATGGTTAAAACTCAAGACAGCGTAAACACAATTATTCCAGATATTACAGGTTCCGACAAGTAAAAAATTTTTATAGTCCTGCCACAAATAAGCTATATATTGATTATTGACCATTTGTGACATGCTATAACGAGCAAAAATTTAAAAAAAACTAATAGGTGGGTTTTAAATTAATAAATGCAAATGTATTCTGACAGTGAATGAGTTAATTATGCTTTCTATTTGCAAAATTCCTGAACCTTAACGCAAAATAAGAAAAAAAATGAATTTTTAAGAAATTTGCGGGATTTCCCGGGATATTTCCCGGGTTAAAAAAACAACCGGGATCCCGGGATCCCGGAATCCCGTTTGAGAAACCCTAGTGAAGACAGATTCTTACAATGATAATCCCATATGATAACTTTTTAAAATTACTAAATTTTTTATATTAAATTCGATTAGCTTAAAAACCTTTCAAAAGTTCATAGCTTTTTAATAAATTCTAGGCTTTTCTGAAAAAGAATCTAGGGTCAAAAAGCATTTGGCCGTTGATAACATTAGTAACGGGTATTTTTTCTTATAATTTTTCTGGCAACACTTAATTGACAGATGGTTGTGTTGTACATGTGATTTGTGCGGCTCGGTAACACGTGTTTGTATTATTGAAATTCACAAAAATGAAAAATAAACCGATATCGCATAAAAATGAAAATACGTTTAAGGTATGTATATATTATTGTTCTCAATGTTAGCTCAAACTACTAAATATTTATCGATATGTTTGGTTTATAAGTTTTATAAAATAACACATCTCGGTTTGTATATGTCGTAAGATTCTAGCTCTGAATGACGTTGTAATAAAATAAGTGAATAAAAATTATCGAAATCCAGAAATTCCGTTTCTTGGTTTATCTTCCTAATTATCAAATGCCGAATTTGTATTGTGAGATATTGTGCAAATACCTGTACAAGTAAATTCCAAATATACAGTAGGTTACTGGTAGATTATAAACTAAAATACGGATATAATATAAGCTATAAGTGTACCAAAGGTACAAATGCAGCTCTGAATGAGGCAGTTGGAATCTTATCAGAGATATAGACAATGTCTATAGCTTACCATCCATAGGAGTAAAAAAGTCAAGGGATTGTCTACATGCGACTCTTTGTGAAATAAAGATCTTTAAAATTAGCCTATCTGTACTTTTGAAGAGCCAAAAACAAATGGAGTAAAATTTAAAAGTGAAAAAATCTGGAAATATTTCTCAAACAATACTAAAAATCAACTGTTTCTACTTTACTAGAGATGGCTAAAAGTTCATAAAACATGAGAATCCCCATTGCATCAACTGTGGTGTGATTGGAGTTACAATACATTCTCCATTAAATCTATAGCATTCTCTTTATGACATATCATATCTTCAATTCATGAAGATCATTATAACCCGAGTTACTATTTACAACAAAATATCAATGATCTGATTTTGAGAGTATGCTGTTTTGTCCAATAGGAATATAGTCTGGGAATGTTCAAATGGTACAAGTTGTCTCTGATATGAGTTTCGGTGATAAAATGGAAGAGAGAAAAGGAAGACGTAGTTTTACTTCTTCTGAAAAGCAGTTAATAGATGGAATTGAAAAAATAATAGAAGGGAAGATAGATCCAACTATCACTTCTCGTGGAAAGGAAATTGCTTGAGATTAATGTGCAAAAAAAGTGAATAGTGTTAGTAATATATGTAGAAGCATAGACAAAATATGATGTAAATGGAGAGAGATTACAAAAGTGTTTAAAAAAAAAAAATGCTAGCAAAATTTTTATATAATTGATTATAACAATTCTGCTTATAATTTTAACATGATTAAAACAATAGTTTGTTATACATGATGTATATTCCTTTCCAATTGTGAGATTTCAGTTCCTCAATTAAACTAAAAATCATTTCCCTTGACATTCAATAGCATCGGATTAATTTCATTAACAAAATATCTTCAATTGATAGACAAGGTAAATGATATATTTTTGATAAACTGTGTAATTCATTCAGTTTTAGATTAGATGGGATAATACCAGAATTTGATAAGTATGGTGATGAGTCTTGGAAATTGCTCTGCATTTACACAATTTGTTCCACTTGCATTGCATTTTTGGCAAATTGTTTAAGCACTTATAGATTTATCATACTCATTAAACAATATCAGTTATCCATCACTTCAAATTATTGGGCTGCAATTTAAAAAACTGTAGTCATGGAATAATCTATTGCTTTTAGCCCTTAATATTGTTTTACACTTAGTCTAGATAAATAGACACATGTATACATGCAGGCTTATCACACCAGTGAAGAAGATTAAATTATAAAATCTGTAATGATATTTAACACCTTATTAAAAACTCTATAATAACTTACAGCTTTTTTTTTTCTTACAATTACTGTATTTACTTTCATATAAGACGACCTTGTATATAGGATGAGGTGTGACTTTAAAGATCAAAATAAAGAAAATTAGATTTATTAATACAATTCTAATTTTATTTCATTTAATCACAAGTAAAATATCAAATGAACGTAAATGCACACATTGCCCAGCAAAAATTACTGGCAGTTTAAATTTTATGTTGTCAATTTTACAAGATTTTTCCTTAATTTGTTCATGTAAAGCTGGACAATCAGGGATTTTTTTGCCAATTTTTAAGTCAAATCCACACTCCGTTGATTACACTTATCAGTTTCTTCAAATTCTTATTTCTGAATAATCATGTTTTCACACGGGAATGGATTAAAATTTATATCGTGCTCCCATGTAATTTTGGAATTTCAATCTGGAATTCAATTCAGAAGCTTTGCTTTTCCTATTGCTATTCATCTTTACTCCTGACAATATACAAGAACAATTCAAACGACCCAGATAAAATACTTATGTTTTTAAATACAAGACAATAACTTTTCTCTACTGCAATATTCCGGTAAAAAAAATGCGAATACACAGTTTGCAAAAATGCAAAGAATCTTTCATTCATGTGTATAGGATGACCTAGGAATTTGAAGCTGTGATAAATGAATAAAAATTTTGTTTTATATGCAAGTAAACATGGTATATAATACAGAACACTCAAAATGCATTTTGGACTCAACATTTTTCTTCAATTGGTGTTCATACATAAATATAAATTATAAAAATTATGAAATTAGACAAATCAAAAATAAATTTTAAAATTATACAAATTATAAAAATACATTAAAAGGTTATTGTAAATATGACAAATTCACAATTATCACATGTGATGTCTCACAAGTATAATAGTTTCAAGATCATCACTTTCTTAGCTTTGGGAACACTAAATATAATATTCCAAAAATTACTATTTTTATAATTAAAATATTATAAATGTAAAGTGTTGGATTTATACTCACAATAAGCATTTCAGTTGAAGCAACTTACTACACAACAGAAACATTGCTCTAATATTATGCACTACCACAGCTTATTTTATTAATTTACTATACTATATGGCTAATTTGTATATTTATACACCTCAAGTGTCACCCATTATTATGTCATTAATTAATTTATTTTTGTTTATATCAATGAAATTATACCACCATTCATCTAATTTTATTCCTAAATTGTCATTAATTCTTTTTTCTGATTTAATTTTAAAAATTTTTATACATTCATAGTATTTTTTTTTTTTTTTTTTTA